GTCTCTGTGTTACACACTGTGTGTCTCTCTCAGCCAGTCTCTGTGTTACACACTGTGTGTGTCTCTCTCAGCCAGTCTCTGTGTTACACACTGTTAAGACACCTCCCGTGTCTTTAAGCCAAACCGCCGTTTAGTAAACCTTCCCCGGCTGCAGTACAGTCTCCGTTCGCTTACTCTGTAACACACGAACCCAATGCAGGGGAAGCGGCAATCTCCCGATCGAAATCCACGAACGGCTCCAAACTCCCGAACGGCAATATACGAACTACTAGGAACCGTCGAACAATAATATCCCCAAAGCGGCTTTCGTTCCATCCAGCAGTCTCTAACCGTGAAGAAGGAATCCCCCCAATAACGAGACAGAAGCTCCGCATTGAGGGTCAAATAAGATCTGGTTTTACTGTGGGCTACCTGCCTGTATTTATGCAGGTCTCCCACCTGGTGGACACTCCCCTAGGGGACCAAATGGGAGACTTAAACTACAGACAGATAGAAGGACATTTCAGACACACAGTCACATATTTTACCCACAGTGCATTCTGATTCCCTCCCCTCTGCCCTGGAGTTAATTACCAAGTAACTCAATTAACTCCAGGACAAGGACAGTCGCCATCTTAAACATAAAATAATAAAAGACATAAAAATACATAACTACATGAAAACTGAACATTTCCCGTTAGTATTACATGTCCCCAGATAGCCTGATCTGAGTGCATATTATTAGCGAATAGCGCTCAGATCCCACACACATAGTTCAATCGCCATGGAGTCAAAGTTCTTACAGTCTTTCGGTATACGAATGACTCCATGGGAGGGCTATCTGGGTTAAGTCTTTCGTATGCTCTCAATCTCCCGAACAGCCGATGTTCGCATGCTTTCGTGGAGGCAGCCAGGCGTTCCCTTGTTTCAGCGGTGTTCGGCAGAAAAAGTGTCCGTTTTCAGTTCCATAGAAATAGAGCCAAACACCGCTGAGCGTTCGCATGATTTAAAATGGCCGCTGCCTCGTGGTCGACATACGAACGACGACCACCCTGAGTTCGGTTTAATTGAGAGGTGTCTGCGGTTAACCACAACGTTCTAATGGGGATCACTTTGTTAACCAGCAGCACACCCCTCACTTGGGTGGCCGTTCGTTCGGCAGATTTGTTCGGGAAAAAAGAGTCATTCGAATGGCTGGGCTATAGAAACCAGCCATTCATACGAACGGGGACAAACAGACAAACGGGCAAAAATCCAGCAGACAGATGGTTCTGTCACACGGCTCCCTCCTTGTGGGACACTCCGGCAGACCCGGCTTGACCCTGTGGCGGGTCAACTTGGGGATGACCGGACTACGAGGTGATGGAAACGTCTGTTTGTCGGGACAACCCATCTGCGTTTCCGTTTAGCTTACCGGTCTGTAGCTGATGGTAAAATTGTAGGGCTGTAGTGCCAAGCTCCATCTCAGCAGTCTCCCATTGTCTCCTGAGACCCGGTTAAGCCAAACGAGTGGGTTGTGATCAGTCACAAGGGAAAACTCTTGCCCATACAAATAGGGGCTTAACTTTTTCAATGCCCAGACCAAGGCCAAACACTCCTTCTCCACTGCCGCATAACTCACTTCTCTGGGTAACAACTTTCTGCTGAGATATGCGACAGGGTGCTCTCCTCCATCTTCCCCGACTTGGCACAGCACAGCCCCCAGTCCATACATGGCAGGGGTTATGGTGACAGAGGTTACACAGTATGTAATAATAATAATAATAATAATAATAATAATGGCAGTGGTTATGGTGACAGGTTACACAGTATGTAATAATAATAATAATAATGGCAGGGGTTATGGTGACAGGTTACACAGTATGTAATAATAATAATAATAATAATAATGGCAGTGGTTATGGTGACAGAGGTTACACAGTATGTAATAATAATAATAATAATAATGGCAGTGGTTATGGTGACAGGTTACAAAGTAAGTAATAATAATAATAATAATAATAATGGCAGTGGTTATGGTGACAGGTTACACAGTATGTAATAATAATAATAATAATAATGGCAGTGGTTATGGTGACAGAGGTTACACAGTATGTAATAATAATAATAATAATAATAATAATGGCAGTGGTTATGGTGACAGGTTACACAGTATGTAATAATAATAATAATAATAATGGCAGTGGTTATGGTAACAGGTTACACAGTATGTAATAATAATAATGGTAGTGGTTATGGTGACAGGTTACACAGTATGTAAAAATAATAATAATAATAATGGCAGTGGTTATGGTGACAGGTTACACAGTATGTAATAATAATAATGGTAGTGGTTATGGTGACAGGTTACACAGTATGTAATAATAATAATAATAATAATAATGGCAGTGGTTATGGTGACAGAGGTTACACAGTATGTAATAATAATAATAATAATAATGGCAGTGGTTATGGTGACAGGTTACACAGTATGTAATAATAATAATAATAATAATAATGGCAGTGGTTATGGTGACAGGTTACACAGTATGTAATAATAATAATAATAATAATAATACTGGCAGTGGTTATGGTGACAGAGGTTACACAGTATGTAATAATATTAATAATGGCAGTGGTTATGGTGACAGGTTACACAGTATGTAATAATAATAATAATAATAATAATAATGTCAGTGGTTATGGTGACAGGTTACACAGTATGTAATAATAATAATAATGTCAGTGGTTATGGTGACAGAGGTAACACAGTATGTAATAATAATAATAATAATGGCAGTGGTTATGGTGACAGGTTACACAGTATGTAATAATAATAATAATAATAATAATAATAATGGCAGTGGTTATGGTGACAGAGGTTACACAGTATGTAATAATATTAATAATGTCAGTGGTTATGGTGACAGGTTACACAGTATGTAGTAATAATAATGGCAGTGGTTATGGTGACAGAGGTTACACAGTATGTAATAATAATAATAATAATAATGGCAGTGGTTATGGTGACAGGTTACCCAGTATGTAATAATAATAATAATAATAATGGCAGTGGTTATGGTGACAGGTTACACAGTATGTAATAATAATAATAATAATGGCAGTGGTTATGGTGACAGGATACACAGTATGTAATAATAATAATAATAATAATGTCAGTGGTTATGGTGACAGGTTACACAGTATGTAATAATAATAATGGCAGTGGTTATGGTGACAGAGGTTACACAGTATGTAATAATAATAATAATAATAATAATGGCAGTGGTTATGGTGACAGGTTACACAGTATGTAATAATAATAATAATGGCAGTGGTTATGGTGACAGGTTACACAGTATGTAATAATAATAATAATAATGGCAGTGGTTATGGTGACAGGTTACACAGTATGTAATAATAATAATAATAATGGCAGTGGTTATGGTGACAGGTTACACAGTATGTAATAATAATAATAATAATGGCAGTGGTTATTGTGACAGGTTACACAGCATGTAATAATAATAATAATGGCAGTGGTTATGGTGACAGAGGTTACACAGTATGTAATAATAATAATGGCAGTGGTTATGGTGACAGGTTACACAGTATGTAGTAATAATAATAATGGCAGTGGTTATGGTGACAGGTTACACAGTATGTAATAATAATAATAATAATGGCAGTGGTTATGGTGACAGGTTACACAGTATGTAATAATAATAATAATAATGGCAGTGGTTATTGTGACAGGTTACACAGCATGTAATAATAATAATAATGGCAGTGGTTATGGTGACAGAGGTTACACAGTATGTAATAATAATAATAATGGCAGTGGTTATGGTGACAGGTTACACAGTATGTAGTAATAATAATAATGGCAGTGGTTATGGTGACAGGTTACACAGTATGTAATAATAATAATAATAATGGCAGTGGTTATGGTGACAGAGGTTACACAGTATGTAGTAATAATAATAATGGCAGTGGTTATGGTGACAGGTTACACAGTATGTAATAATAATAATAATAATGGCAGTGGCTATGGTGACAGGTTACACAGTATGTAATAATAATAATAATGGCAGTGGCTATGGTGACAGGTTACACAGTATGTAATAATACACACACAATAATGTAATGGCAGTGTTATGGTGGTTACAGTATGTAGTAATAATAATAATAATAATGGCAGTGGTTATGGTGACAGTCACATATGTAATAACAATAATAATGCAGTGGTTATGGTGACAGGTTACAGCATGTAATAATAATAATAATAATGGCAGTGGTTATGGCAGACAGGTTACCACAGCATGTAATAATAATAATAATAATGGCAGTGTTATGTGACAGGTTACACAGTATGTAATAATAATAATAATAATGGTAGTAATATGGCGAGGTTACACAGTATGTAGTAATAATAATAATAATGGCAGTGGTTATGGTGACAGGTTACACAGTATGTAATAATAATAATGGCAGTGGTTATGGTGACAGGTTACACAGTATGTAGTAATAATAATAATAATGGCAGTGGTTATGGTGACAGGTTACACAGTATGTAGTAATAATAATAATAATGGCAGTGGTTATGGTGACAGGTTACACAGTATGTAATAATAATAATAATGGCAGTTGTTATGGTGACAGGTTACACAGTATGTAATAATAATAATAATGGCAGTGGTTATGGTGACAGGTTACACAGTATGTAATAATAATAATAATGGCAGTGGTTATGGTGACAGGTTACACAGTATGTAATAATAATAATAATGGCAGTGGTTATGGTGACAGGTTACACAGTATGTAATAATAATAATAATAATAATAATAATGGCAGTGGTTATGGTGACAGGTTACACATTATGTAGTAATAATAATAATAATGGCAGTGGTTATGGTGACAGGTTACACAGTATGTAATAATAATAATAATGGCAGTGGTTATGGTGACAGGTTACACAGTATGTAATAATAATAATAATAATAATGGCAGTGGTTATGGTGCCCGGTTACACAGCATGTAATAATAATAATAATAATAATGGCAGTGGTTATGGTGCCCGGTGGGCGTGGCTGGCAGTCTGTGTGACCCGGATTACCTGAGACAATCAGTGGGTGTATTAACCAAGCAGGGCATCACATCTCCCAGCAGCGGAAACTCTTCGTCACTTCCGCCCTGCAATAGTTGGTATTCCAGCGTCACTTCCGCCCTTCAGTAGGTGGAAAACATCCATCACTTCCGCCCTGTAGTGGGTAAAAAAAGTTTGTCACTTCCGCCCTGTATTTTCGTCACTTCCGCCCCTCTGTGGGCGGTATCTGGTCATGTAGCCAATCGCAGATCCCTTGCTTTGCGCTGATTGGTTTACAGGAAACCTGTCCCAGGCCAGGAGTAAGTCAAGCGGCTATTAGCGCAGCAGAGGGGCGGGTCCTGCGGTTGCCATGGAGAAAAGGGGGTTTAGCCGTTGCTAGGGCTGCCAGCGGCCTCCCTGCTGCAGTGATATACGGCTGTCGCGAAAACCAATGTGGTGCAGGTAAGTGAGCGCTGTCATAGCAACTGGAGAGCAAGGGGTTAATAATAATAATATGATACAGGGAGCCAGGGGTTAATAATAATATAATACAGGGGGCCAGGGGTTAATAATAATAATAATATAATACAGGGGGCCAGGGGTTAATAATAATAATAATAATATAATACAGGGGGCCAGGGGTTAATAATAATAATAATAATATAA